AGCGCATCGGTCATACAGTACCACAAACAGGGCAATGGTTTGACAATGTTAACAATTTCTCTAAAAAGTGAATAACTGTGGAAAAAAGCAGCTTGTGGGACAAGTATATAGAAATAGTATCGTTGAAGGAGATGTGCGTTCGGAAGTTAATAAGGAAATGACAGGAAGAAGAGTAGGTTTCTACCAATCGATACACCGTTTCCTTCTCTCTAAGAGTGCACACACCCTTTGCGTCCACGTTTTGAGCGTGCGACAGCGTTTTGAACGAAAAGGGAATTACGCGAAAGTAGACTAGTAAATTTTTGAGAGCACGCTCAAAACGCTGACGCAAAGTATGAACACACTCTAGCGATGAAATTCAAGGGCGACAGCATGCATGGCCAATTAAAAATTGTGTGATAAGAAGCGGAGATTTCACCTTTCGTTTTAATTCCAATCCAATTCAAATAACGACATAGCTTATGGGATATGTACGTCTTCCCTCTTGCTGGCAAGCCAACCAGTGCGATAACATTTGGCACACGGACCTGGTCATTGGAGCTATCTAAACAGCATAAGTTCTGCATAAAACTTAATAAAAAATATAAAACTAAAATTAAAGTTTATGCGCACACATCTTTACTGGGCAACATGAATATGAAACCAAGCTTGTTCCTATGACCTCTGCACTTCTCACGCATAAAAGTCAGGCTGTGATGATGACTGATAACTACAACTTACTAGCTAATTATTTACCACTTTCATTTACCCAAGGGAAGAAGCGCGTTTTTTTTTTCGCTTCCGCTGTCCTTGACGACGACTAGGCGGTTAACAAATCAATCGAACCCCAACTGACCCATTGGCTTACACGATGTAGGCGCCTCACATAGAGGGATACCTCTTAGTTCAAAAATAATACGTCAATATTCTCTAACAATGAAAGTGAAAGAGTTAAAATAGTTCCATGATTGACGACTTTACCCGAATAAATCAGGTATGTGTTGAAACCATAAAACGATGAGAGGATCCTTTCAGGTTAGTCTTTTAGTTTCACTGGAATGCTTTATGCACTCTATGTTCTGAACAGCCCAGGTCGTGTGATCAAGTAGGAACACTGCAGAATCTGTTGTTTGAAAAAGAACTTCATGTCCAAGACAACCCCCGTTGCTGAACCAAGCTAGCTTTCGCAATATCGTTTAATCCCACGCCCCATTCATGAGACATATCAATCGCCGAAGCTTCAATGTGTTTTGTTAGAACGATTATCTTCCGTCCATAACATTTCCTCCGCGTTTCCCAAGCTCCCATGTGTCCCCATTCATATTGTAAGACGTTCTTTGGACATTGAAGATTCGAAGTAGGGATAAAAAAAATTACTGATGGTGAGAAAATGTTCGAAAGGACACTGAATGTCCTTAGAAACACGCTAAGAACAAGAAAACGAAACTGAAGCCATCAGGAAGAAAATGATGAATAGCGGACTGGAGGATGCCAAATGAATGAACGCACAAGGTGCGGAAATAACGCTCCTGGGTGAGAGACTCCCAGACGGTTATGGACTGTAACAGAGTTCGCGTTCAACGTATCAGAACGTTTCACTTTTCCTTGATATTTAGCCCTTCCGACTGTCAGGAGAGCTCCCTGAACGTCATGGTTCGACTTCCTTTCCAATCTTGTGCCATCTTATCACAAAACAAGAATAAGGATAAAGTCCTTCGCCATCAATCAAACCTTTTTGGGATGCTTCACGCACATTAGAACTCTATCCACTCAAAATCTCTAAGGCTCATTGACTGCGATGTAGCCCATAAAATCACTTGCAGCGGCCAGCCGACGTAGGTAAAGATTCGTTTCAGCGACCTGAATCCGAACAGTAGCCCAGTCGAACAAGAGAAACCAGTTTAGTCGGAGGTTTTTGCTTGTCTGTTCACGCGGTTCCTAGATGACCATGAGCCCCAAACAGTCCTCGAAAGGCATTCCACTGTGAATTAACACAATTGATGCTAGTCCAAAACGGCCATTTCTGGAATACCTGCTATGATCTCTGAGGTGGACGAAAACCAGTTCTCACGAATTTGAAAACCACTTTTTGCATAAAAGCATTGGATCACCCAGGAACTCCTTTCTGCGACACAGGCACAAACCGCGACTTTGTTAACTTTGGGGCAGTCATAAAACTGCTGCAGGAATAACGTCACCAAAACAAAAGTACCATTTCGAACTAGCTCACCGACCCTTCAGCGATCCTCCTCTTCAGGTTCAGGCAAAAACCCTCATCCCAACAACGAGAATCGTAGTTTTGCGCAAAGAGTTTCCTTCGAGCTCCCCTTCCCTAGGTCTTTAGCACCAGGAACAACCCTGCTCTAGCTCATGACCATTTCTTGGTACCTTCTCAAACGAGCCGCGTTGCTACTTTGCACGGGGGAGAGTAGAAGAATCGGCTTCGAGGTCGAGCGATACCCGTCTACAGACCTATTCGCTGCGGAAGCTGGGCGTTTTAGAAGGCTGAGTTTTGCTCCAAGCCGGCCAGTTTTCCACCAACTGCAGTAGCTCTACCAGCTTCCACAATTGGTGGAGCTCGGGTTGGTTTTTCGCGCCAAACCTAGCTCTCCTCGTTTCTGAAACGCCCAGCTAACAAGACTGCTTCAGAATCGTCGAATCGCCGATCCTTCTAGTCTTCTATAAACTCAAGTATTAAAAGATACTATACTTACCTTGAAGCGCGTTCTAGAATGCCGAACCCCTTCTCTCAAGTAGCAAAGTATTGACGCGGTCCAAATGTTGTCCGAAGAAAAAAATAATGAAAATCACATCATATCATTCTTTACAAAAGTTTAGAGGGTTTTACAAACTGGTCCTAGCATTTTGAATAGCACCTGACAAACCCCTGCTGAGATCAATGTACATAAAGTAGGACTGAAGTTAAAGAAAAAGACTGGATACTCACCGAGTAACATGATGTTTGTTGTTCTCGCTGAAGCGTTTCAAGTAGAATCTTCACACAATCGAACCCATTGGTATCTAACACTTTCCTGTAATCAAAAAAGTAAATGGCTGGAATAAATAATTTTAACGATCCAAGAAATTTTAATAGAAATAGAAGCAAAAAAGCGAACAACTTGGCATTAACTTGAGTTCCAAACGGGAACGATATTACCAGTGGCGCATAGTTATCGATTAGAGCACGAGTACTGTGCTTCTTTACTGAGGACAAGAAAACCAGGGCACATCGTTGGTTGGGGAATCCCCAACAGGGGGTCGTATTTGGCCGCCAGGAGAGGGGGGGGGTCGTAGTGAGTGCGGCAGCCAGTAACGAGCAGCGCAAATTGTCAATGTGCTGAGTCCTGTACAACGAAACTTGCTTTGTAGAGAACTCGGATATGCAAAAAATAGTACAAAACTTTCATTCATCAAACTAATCCGAAATAACTGCAAATATTAATAAGTCGACATTATCTCGTAAGTCCGTTGGTGACTAAACAGTACAACTCAAACTCTGGTTCGCTGCCAATGATATGGCGTGTCCGCGGTCGCGCTTGGCGCTGAGCCAACCTGTTTTTTTCTCGACAAGCGACAGGACTACCATATCGTTCATATCAGACGTTTTCCAGCAGTTGGTCTCCTTTATCGGAGTCAGCGATTGGCGAGAGCACGAATCTGGCAGCGTTGACAGGGACATGTTCCATCATACGCAACGGAAAACACTGTAAACAAGTGCACAGGCTCGCCATGGACCTCCCTGAACCTTATAGACACATTTGCTCGCGTGAACAGACATTACGCACAAGTTGCACCATCCCATCACCTCTGCGCGGCCCTCAGTGCGCGGCGCATCCAAAGTTGGCGTGATCGGCGCTAAACGAACCATATCCTGCTCCTGCTCCACCACAGGATACGTTCTACATGCGTTCCTGGCTATTCGAACACGCTCACTTGAAACGGTACACAGGAAACGGGTTTTTCGCGCAGCTGGGAGTGTTCCTCAAGAAATCCCCATAGCGAGATCTCATGAATCCCGAGAGCTTCAGAAACAGTTCAAGAGGTTTTTAGAAAGAGAAAATCTTCAAACACTCGAAACCATTCTCAGATTTGTGAAATGTTGAGTTACAAAAAAAATATATTGATTCAAACCTGTTCGGTTGAAACCACTCCCCAACGAATCCCTATGGCAGATTTCTCTGTGATTTTTGCGACGTTCATAAACGTTTTAGTACTTTTAGGAAGTGCAAACCTTCCTCTACACGAATACGGTCTCCTCTTCCCCACAGGTCCGCTTTTGAGGAAGTTATGGTCCTTCAAAGACACCTAACTCAGCTGGAAATTCTCGCTCCATGGCTAAAATTGCCGAATAATCTCCTGTCACAGCCGCAATTACATGCGCTTCTGCTACCGTACTCCAATAATCGGGGTAATGCATTTTTACGGCGGTTTGTATAACTGTTACGTAGTGAGACAAGCCTAACTTTCTCTTTTCCTCGTCCTCAATCTTGGGAATAGACGTTGTTAACACTGTGGTCGCTGATGGCCGCTCCCAGAGAGGGAGTCCACCTCAGGTTAACGAATGCTCATTGAATTTAATCGCGATACATCGTTATTATTACCATGTGTGTTTCAAAACGGCCATCGAAGAAGTTCATCATACGAGTTTCTCATAATACGATTGTACCGTTTTTTGTTTGCAATCATCTCTGTATTGTTCTATTATGTCATGACTTCAAGTCGTCCATTTAGTATGGGCACCTTCATACAAGAATTTCATAGTGGGCGTTTCATAGTTTCATTTAAGGCGAAAAAAACCGAACGGCAAAAAAAAGGGGGGGGGTCGTACCGAACCCCCCAAAAAAAGGGGGGGGGGTCGTACAGGCTCGACCAAAATCCCCATCGAATGCTGTGCCCTGAGAATAAACTGCTTGCTTGGAGGCAGAGCACATCGTTGTTGGGAATCCCCAACAGGGGGTCGTATTTGGTCGCCAGGAGAGGGGGGTCGTATTTGGGCTGAGAAAAATTTATTTTGATAGTTGATTTTTCTCGCTTCACGGACGTTGTAAAGGTCGTACTTGCTCGTTGTTGGGGAAGGTCAATATTTACTTTCTGTCCTTCTGGGAGAGGTGGTGGTTAACTTTTCGTGATTTTCTTGTTTCGTGTGTACTATGTACCCCTCCCCCCAGTGGCAGGGCAGGAAGTTGGGGAAAATCTGAGAATTGGTAGAAGGGGGGGGGGGTCGTATTTTTCTCGCGGCTTTTCCTTTTCACATATGCTATTAACCCCTCCCCCTGCTCGACAGCGATGAGGAGGAACAGATTTCCGAAGAAGGAGGTCGTGCCAAGCCCCAAAAAAGGTGGGTGTGGTCGTACGGACTCGACCAAAATCCCCAACCAATGATGTGCCCTGTTGGAGGGGGTAAAGCTGGCAGAAAGCATTGAGAAGACGCTTGTTCAGTATCATTCACTTCACCTTTCATTCTTTCAAAACCTTTACAAACAGTTTCTTACTGTAGAGTGTAGATCAATTTGCCAGTTCTAACATTTCTTAGTGACAATGAATTGCTGTAATAAATCTGATGAACTCTTTGAAGGACATCCGAAGAAGTACTTTAATTTAGTTACAGAATTCGAGAAAAGGTTTTGCCGAAGCCTTTTTCCAATCTATGTCCAGAGGGAACCTCGTAAAAAGTGAAGAAGTGGCTCATTCGAGTTGGGGCCTCTTTCACTGTGCCCAGGCAGAAGTCCCTCTCCCCTGGCTTAGAGTCGATAGTTCGCACCTATGTGCACTAAATATTACTCGGCAATAGAATATCAAAGAAATCGTCCCGAAAAGAAGCGTGTAAGTATTTCAAAACTCGTTGTGCGAAATTAGGAGTACCGTAATCCGACGAAGTTACACCAGCATGCCTAGCTACGTATTGTTCGCTACGGATGATGAGGTGTCTGAAGCGGTGGGTTTGGCACATCGCCAAATCCGTTTTCCACTAACTGTTGAAGCAACAACCGAGAAGACTATATCATTTTATTCGTATCAGTCGTTTTCCACCAGATGCTGTCGCTTGCCCGCTTCAGCTACTGGTGGAAAACGAACTTGGCGCCGTGCCAAACTCATCCCACTGACACGTCCTCTCTTCCGCAGCAAACAAGACTACTACTCATGGCACGTCCTGTCGTTAGGGAAATTATCTGCAAAATATGACCGCTCCTCCTACCCCCCTCCAATATTTTTCTTTGACACGACCCCCATACATTTCCGGAGGAATTTTTGGTTTTCCAAAATTTTGCCGCCCACAATGGGGGTAGCGCTATAGCACATCCGAAGCGGGCCCAGCCGAGAAAAGGCAACA